CCACTAGTGGGAAGCCACAGTACCACAGTTTGAGAACCACTGGCCTAGATATCAGAAGAAGGTGGACAAATGGGAACCTTCCTGTCATATACTAAAGTAAAACAGCTCGTCTAAGATTACATACAGGAATAGAGAAAAGAGCACTCTTTAATTATCAGCTGTTAGTCAGCGCCCGCTCTTTTTTTCCTGGTCATTGCGCCTTTGCCGTGTGCTGTGTAAATGCAGACGATCGCAAACGAGTCACTTTTAAAAGATGATGTAAGCAGGTCAGCAAAAAATAAATAAATAAATCGGATACAGTCACAAAATCGGAATTGACTATCAAGATCTGCAGTGTAAATGCAGACGGGGAGGCTTTCCTAACACCACCTGCTTTTGGTGGTGTTTTTGTCTTGGAATCTAGATGTTATGCTAATACTTTCTGTGGGTTGATGTATTAACATTTTCTAGGTTAATGAATAATAATGTAAACGGTAGTTTATTGTAAACTTTAATTAGTCGCTATTGTATTTTTAATAGTAAAATAATGTTAACCACTCTGGTATTTTTTAATGTTACATTTTATTTTTTTGGACAATTACAGGAAAGAAACAATGAACACTTTACCCTGGCATAGCAATGTGCCAAACGCCAGAGCCTCCGCTGTGGACCAGTCCAATTTTGTGCCCTCTTCTAGTTTCTGCAGACGTGCCTGTAAAGGAGCAAGACAATTATTTAGCCCGTTTTATGTATAACATATCTTTAAGTTTTTTCAAGGTTTTACAATAAATCAAACCACAAAACGTGCCCCAGACAGGTTTAGAGAAAAATAAAAATTAATTAATAATCATTATTAAAAAAATAAAAATACATAAAAATAAAAAAGAATTCTAATCAAACACCAATTCACATTTCACAAGTTCAGACTTCAAAAGCTTCTTCAATATCTTAATTTTTCACATATCACAAAATTTAGCGGACTTTTTCCTTATTATATATGTGAGCTTTTCAAGAGCCAAACATGTTATAGGGTTTCTCAACCAAAATCCAACGGAGGGGCGATCACCATTTTTCTAACATACATCAATACAACGTCTTGCTTGTATTAACCATAAATCAATCCATTTTCTTTCTTTAGTAGACAAAGCACAACTGTCTTCATACATATTCAAATATTTATACATTATAAAATCAATCAAAATTCACCAGAAACAGCGTTCAAATAGCTTCTTTATGAAATAAATGCCTACTCTGTTATATTTAATCAGCTCAAATTAGAAAAAAACAATCCACACTCACTTTTTTCTTGTTTAATATTCCATTTCTTGTCACAATACAAAAATAAAATGGTCACACTTCTGGTTCATGTGGACTTTAAAGTGCATGTCCAACCACTAGAGGGTGATAAAAGCCTTTTGTGATGGGTTGCTTGCAAGTTAATGTAAATGTGAGAACAAAGGCGGATTACTGTCTTGCCGTGCGAACAACGCATAATATGTGACGCATTTGTCGCAATCGTGCAGAATGTTGGTGAATCAAAAAGGAGAAAACAGTGTGCACACTGACTTATGATATTTAGACTCTGTCCAGAGAATTCAGAAATGTTTGGTTTCAGTCACCAACTACTGCCTTACTACAGGATCTTAAAATTGTCAACAAGAGCCCAAAATGAGGTCCAGGATGGATTTTTACCTGCACGTGTGTCTTCCTCAGGTGACTGTGCAGAATGATCTCCTCAGGTATGTCCACTGATTTGGCTCCAACAAACTGCAGCAGGGGCTGTGCGACGCCAGTGTCCCAGCACGAGACTCTATTCTGGGGCTCCACCAGGTCTCCCCAGCGGCCCTGCAGGTTTGTGGGTGGAGGGCTGTAGAGGGTCATGTTAGTCAGCTGGTTGTTGAGCGTAGCGTAGTAGCTGGTCTTGATCTGACTGCGCTCCTCGTCTGTCATCAGACCCTCAGAGATCAGCTGGTCAGCATAGGAATCTGGGATGCTTTTTCTTGACCTTGATAGGAGGAAAATTACACTAGTAGGCGTACGCACAATTTTGTGTTCTTACTAAAGTGTTTACATGGAATGTGGGTAAAAAAGTGACTAGCATTTTAACATTAAGCTACAAGATGAGGGTTTTTGAAAGTTGTGAGCTGCACATACCGTATTATTTTATACATTGCAGGGTTTGTGAAAAAGGGTTCGTCCAGCTCATTGTGGCCCCACTGCCGGTAACAAAGCAGATCGACAATGACGTCTTTTCTGAAGCGTCGCTGGTACTCCACCGCCAGCCGGGTCGCTCTGAGGACTTCTTCAGCATCATCGCCGTTCACATGGATTATTGCACATCCCACCATTTTACCTGAATGACACAAGATTCAGAATAGCAAGAAGTGTTGTTAGGGTGTGGAAAAAAAATTATGTTTACATTTTGTGTGTTGGAGAGTTTTAGTTGACTATAAACATAAACAGAGCTGTTGGTACTTTTGTTTAGTTAAAATATCATCTAAACTTTTAATAGATAAAATAGAATAATAGAAGTTTTTACCTCTAAAAGCATTTTGTCATTTAAATAAAATAAAAAGTTAAATATTTTATTTACATTTTAATTTAACTATTAAAAAATAATAATGTATAGCATTCCTTAAAAAATACAAAATGACAAAAGCAAAAGAATCTACAGACGTGAAATGAAAATAGGTTTTTCCTTGTTTTTCTACATTTAATGATCAATATAATCATAATTTAAATTGAATTCATAAAAAAAATCATAATTGCAATAATACATTATAGCAGTATTACATACAATAAATCTTTAATAATAATTATTATAGTAATTATAGTAACATAATTATATAAAAATTACTTACATAATTTAATAATAATAATAATAATAATAAAGAAATTAACATAAATAAATAAATAAAATAAATAATAAATAAATAAATAAATAAAATCTCTAAACAGCTTGACATTTGTGCAGAAAATGTGATCAGCTATAGACTAAAAGTAGGACAAACTATTTTACCCATTTAATATAAATCACATAATACAACAATATTACATTAAATGAAAAAAATTAATACATTTCAGTTTTTTAATAATAAAGCATTTTAAAAAATGTAAATAGTTGTAACAAAAAATAATAATAGTAATAATATTAAGTAAGTTTCAAATTAAAATCGCAATAATGTTTACTAGAGTCCATTTGATAGTCATTTCAAACTGTTTACAGCAGGGGCGCCCAAACCTTTTCTTTTGAAGGGCCAAAAACCAAACTTGATTGGGTTTTGGGCTGAAGGTACAAAATTGTCATAGGTAATTTTCCTAATTCATTTCAACATATTTAAAAATAAACAAAAAACATGACTTTAATTTTATTAACTAAAGTATTATTATTATTACTACATTTTATAATGAACTTATTACTATGAAAGCATAAACAATTCCATTTATAACACTATCGAGTTCAATGCCGAAAACATTAGTGAATCTGCTCCTGCCCTCTGCCTTGATTTCCTCACTGATGTCTTCTGAATCTGTCGAGCGACAATATGTTTATTTAAAAAAAATCAACATTTAATTAAAACTTTCAATGAGTTTTTTTTAGCTTAACAATAAAACAAACAAACAAAAGGTTAAGTTAAAGTAGAAAAGACAATCTCTTTTAAAGGCATTCTGTCCAACCCATCCCCATCATTCTCCCTCTCTTCACAGATAGGAAGGTGGGCAAATCAAAGGCTACTATGGGCCAGCTTTAACCTGCAGGACCTACTTTGGGGCATCTCTGGTTTACAGCATAAAAATAACAATTCCAAAAATAGGACCATTTGATTTGCTTTACCATGAATGATCAATGATTAAAAAATAAATAAATAAATAAAAATGACATACCAACATCACTACAGTAGAGAGATGATCTTCCCCTCTCAGAGGGAGTGGTGTAGCCCACTTGATTGTTTACAATGAGGTGGATGCTTCCACCCACTCTATAATGAGGAAGATTTGACAAGGTGAAGGTTTCCGGTACTATTCCTTGTCCTGAAAATGAAGCATCGCCATGAACCTGAACAGAACAGATTAAAAATACCATATGTATTATGCATCAGCAAGGTCTGTAATGTTGCGTAAATTGTTCACAGAGAGCGTTACTCATCTGGAAAATAAATACATTGCTGTATACCTGCAGGCAGATGACTTTGTCTCCCGGTCGTGAATGAGGGTCAGTGGAGTAGTCACCGTCCTGTTTGACCTGCTGTCGGCCTCGTGTTTTTCCCTGTGTCACAGGGTTGATGGCCTCCAGGTGGGAAGGATTGGGCAGCATTGTGACATGGAGAGGGTGTCCTGCCCCGAAGTCAAGCTCCACTGTAGACGTTAAATGGGACAAGACGTCTCCGATAGAGGGAGAGTGCTCCGGAAACTCACTGAGACCCCTCATCTTACGAAACATGAGCTGCAACAAACAACAACAAAAGATAGATAAGTTTTGTCAGTGCTTAAAGGGACAATTCAACCAAAAATAAAAAATCAGCCACTACTATTCCCTCTCCATGTGTTTAAAACCTACTTGGGTTTCTTTCTTCTGCTGAACACAACATAAGTATTTTTGAAGAATGCTATTTGATGGCTCGCATTGATTTTCATAGTATCTTTTTTTTTCAAGCTATGGAAGTGGGTGGTTGAGCATTCCTTAAAATATCTTCATTTGTGTTCAACATAAAGTCTGTGACATATCAAAACAAAGCTGTGAGTTCCATGACACTTCAGGGAAACTTTAATAATGACTGCACACAATGAAAATTATAATAATCCACAGAACTTGCTAATGCAAAACAAACAGTTAATTCCAGGACAATGAGTTTCTTCATGTTAAATGAGGAGGTGGAGAGAGTGACTCAGAGGATTAGATGAAGAGGAAATAAGTGGTGAGAAAATACCAGGATATAGACATGGAATGACATTAAGTGAATAAGCGATGACAGAACTGACATTTTTCTTTTTTTTTTTTTTTACAAATGGCAACTTAATTTTCATTAGAGTAGCTTAAAATAGTTAAATAAATAAAATAAAAATCTCACACAAGAAATTGTTTAAAGCAGGGGTGTCAAGCAACTGCTGCCCTGCACAGTTTGGTTCCAACCCTTGTCTAACAAACTTACCTGTAGGTTTCATACCAGCCTGAAGGACTCAATTAGTTAGATCAGGGGTGTTTTATTAGAGTTGAAACTAAACTGTGCATAGCTGCGGCCCTCCAGGACCTGACTTTGACACATGTGGTTTAAAAGGAACACTCCAGCGTTTTCGGAAACAGAATTAAATAGTTGAGTTTTTTTAATTTTTGAAATTATCCTGCTGATCCGCAGGTCTGGCAGCAACACTTTTAGCTTAGCTTAGCATAGATCATTGAAATGGATTGGACCATTAGTATGTTGTTCAAAAAATTTGTCAAAATAGTTTTCCTGTATAAAGCTTGAATCTTCTGTATTTACATAATGTACTGGGACAGATGAAGCAAAAGTTGCTATTTTTTTAAAACCAGAAATATTGCTAATGCTAATAGTCTAATCTGAGTCAATGATTTATGCAATGCCAAAAAAAGTCGCTATTTTCTACATATGTTAATGGTCTAAACCGAAAATAGTGCTAATGCTAATGGTCTAATCTGATTCAATGATTTATGCTAAGCTAAGCTAAAAAAAAGTGGCTATTTTTTTAGATATTACGTTTATGGTCTAAAATGAAAATGGTGCTAATGGTCTAATTGGATTCAATTGTTTATGCTAAGCTAAAAAAGTCACGATTTACTAGATATTATGTTAATGGTCGAAACTGGAAATTATGCTAATGGTCTAATCTGATTCAATTATTTATGCTAAGCTAAAACAAGTCACTATTTTCTAGATATTACGTTGATGGTCTAAACCAGAAACGGTGCTAATGCTAGTGGTCTAATCTGAGTCAATGATTTATGCTAAAAAAGCTGTTTTTTTCTAGATAATATGTTAATGGTCTAACCTGGAAATGGAGCTAATGCTAATGGTCTAATCTGATTAAATGATTTATGCTAAGCTAAGCTAAATTCTTCCCAGAGATCGCCTGGTTCAAAAATAGTAAATCTGTTTAACTATAGGAGAGATGTAAAATGACTATCTCCAAAACAAGTAGAGTGTTTCTTTAATTGATCAATTTAAGTATAACACTTTAGAAAGAAAACAAATGTTAATAATATATATTTTAATTCTCACTTCAATATCTTTATTTTCGTTCTTACATCTTATGTAACACTACATTTCAAAGATGTAGCATAACTAATATAATAACTTCAGTTAAGTATATTTTAACAATACTAAAACAGTTTCTTTTCAGGTTTAACTGAATGAATGTGTTCAAAGTGTGGACCAACAGCAGATTCTCCAAAACATATTTTAAACTGTAGTCAAACTGGTCCGTCTAGCTGATCATCTTTTATACATTAACCTGTGCCAGCAGTAATTATGCATTTACCTCAGGAGGAAACTGAAGAAGGCCGGTGAGCAGATTAAGGCGTCCGCGATGAGGCATTCCCATAACCACATCCGTCACTCCACTGTATACTGAAGAGCGAAACAGCTCGTAGAAAAATCCCATCATGCTCTCTGCTCCCTCGCCTCCATACCGCTTCACAGTTGCAAACTTAGTGGCTAAAAAGTGGTCAAATTCCTTCAAGCAGAAAACAGGACAGGTACAATTGCTGATCCTGCCATGATCTTATAATGATTGACATGTTAGCAAAAATCTAACCGGCATCTTAAGGCTAAATGGTTCTCTTAGGATAATAATAAAAACAATTACAAACGAACAAGAAGAAATTACAAAAAATGACAAGGTACATAAGGCAAAAAAGCCGAGCACAAAAAAGGAAAACTTAATCATACACACACTAAATATTCCTTATTAAAATTCCTTAATAATAATAATAATAATAAAATAAACAATTTATTTAAATAATAGTATGAAAATATATATTTCACTCTCGCAATAGTAAATTGTAATTAAATGATTGTAAAATATTTATATTATTATTTTGCAAAAGAAACAAAATAAAAGTAATATTATTAACACATATTTTACAAAACAATATTACAGTTACAAGATTAACATTCATTCCTGTCGTGTCTTCGGTTATTTGCTTTCAACTTTGAGATCCTCTTTACCATAGTTTGTTTTATGTAAATTAAAAATGTATATAATATAATAATAATAATAATAATATTATTATTCTCAAATGCATACCTAATCAGATATTTTACAGCTGTATATAATATAATATAATATAATATAATATAATATAATATAATATAATATAATATAATATAATCTTTATTAGACACGCTGCTTGTTAACAAAATCTCTAATCGGCCAATCACATGGCATCAACTCAATGCATTCAGGCATGTAGACATGATCAAGACGATCTGCTGCAGTTCAAACAGAGCATAAGAATATGGAAGAAAGGTGATTTAAGTGACTTTTATCGTGGCATGAATGTAGGTGCCAGATGGGCTGGTCTGATTATTTCAGAAACTGCTGATCTACTGGGATTTTCACACACAACCATCTCTAGGGTTCACAGAGAATGGTCTGAAAACGAGAAGAAAATATCCCGTGAGCGGCAGTTCTGTGGGCACAAATGCCTTATTGATGCCAGACATCAGAGGAGAATGGCCAGACTGGTTCCAGCTGATAGGAAAGCAACAGTAACTCAAATAACCACTCGTTACAACTGAGGTATGCAGAAGAGCATCTCTGAACGCATAACATGTACAACCTTGAGGCGGATGGGCTACAGCAGCAGACGACCACACCGGGTGCCACTTCTGTCAGCTAAGGCCCCGTTTACACTAGTGCGTTTTAGTGTTAAAACAGAGTTTTATATCAAAAACGATCAGCATCCACACTAGCGTTTCTGAACATATCTCCATCCACACTACAACACCAAAAACGTATATCACATGACCATTCGCGCACTCTGAACAATGAACGCGATGGCAAAGAAAGCAAGAGAGGTATTTTTGTGGACAGACGACGAGGTCGAGTTGTTACTAAACGTAACAAATGAATAACTGCACAATAGCGCCTAAAACAGACAATAGTGCAAACAACGCTCCCATTTCGGTGTCCATGTTGTTGTTTACAGTGAAGGCTGGTCTGCTGTCTTCCGGTTGCGTTAAAGCCATGTGTTATAGTCACGTGATAGGGGCTTGACGAATAAGGAAAGGAGACGCAATGACACAAAAGCCCCAATCAGGTAGCAAATCTCAGCAGCCCCGCCTCCGTTTTCAGATGTCTCCGTTTTCCCCCATCCACACTGAGATGGAGCAGCAGTGTATTAGAATGAAAACAGCCTCTGCATTGTTTCCAAAACGCTCCGTTTTCAACGCTTGAAAACTCCGGCGTAGTGTGGACGGATGGCGTAACCGTAGCAAAACCTATGCATTTTCAAACTAAAATGCATTAGTGTAAACGGGCCTAAGAACAGGAAACAGAGGCTACAATTTGCATAAGCTCACCAAAATTGGACAATAGAAGATTAGAAAAACGTTGAGAACTTGACGTCAACAACATGAAAGAATGGACCCATCCTGTCTTGTATCAATGGTTCAGGCTGCTGCTGGTGGTGTAATGGTGTGGGGCATATTTTCTTAGCACACTTTGGGCCGATTAGTAGCAATAGAGCACTGTGTCAATGCCACAGCCTACCCTAGTATTGTTGCTGACCATGTCTATCCCTTTTTTGACCACATCTTCTGATGGCTACTTACAGCTGATTAACGCGCCGTCATAAAGCTCTAATAATTTCAGGCTGTTTTCTTGAACTTGACAATGAATGCACTGTACTCATATGGCCTCCACATTCACCAGAACTCAGTCCAATAGAGCACCTTTGGATGTGGTGGAATGGGAGATTCACATCATGGATGTGCAGCTGACAAATCTGCAGCAGCTGCGTGATGCTATCAAATCCATATAGAACAAAGTCTCAGAGGAATATTTCCAGTACCTCGTTGAATCTATGCTACGAAGGATTAAGGAAGTTCTGAAAGCAAATTAGGGTCCAACCTGACCATTATAATATAATATAATATAATATAATATAATATAATATAATATAATATAATATAATATAATATAATATAATATAACGCCTCTTTTATAATATAATATAATATAATTTAACACCTCTTTTATAATATAATATAACATAATATAACACCTCTTTTATAATATAATATAATTAATATAATATAATATAATAAAATATAATATAATTTAATGCCTCTTTTATAATATAATATAATGCCTCTTTTATAATATAATATAATATAATATAATTTAACACCTATTTTATAATATAATATAACATAATATAACACCTCTTTTATAATATAATATAATATAATATAATAAAATATAATATAATTTAATGCCTCTTTTATAATATAATATAATATAATAAAATATAATATAATTTAATGCCTCTTTTATAATATAATATAATATAATTTAACACCTATTTTATAATATAATATAACATAATATAACACCTCTTTTATAATATAATATAATATAATATAATATAATATAATATAATATAATATAATATAATATAATATAATATTAGTATCTAAATGTTTGTCTTACCTGTGACTCGAGCATCAGTTTAGCCAGCATTCTCCTTTCCTCTGGAGAAAACGCCTCTTTTTTGAGCTCCTCAAAGCGGTCAGCAAACCACTCTCGTTCCTGTAAGGTCTGCAGCTGAGAGGTTTCCACTGAGATTCCCCCACAGTATGTGCTTTCCAGATACGCCACAACCTCTTCTGCAGTCGCCTCAGCTTTACCAAAGTGCCGCAACCCTGAAATAATGACAAACACAAAATTAAGCAGCTAAATGGACGAAACTATTAAATAATATTATTAAAAAATAATGGGAATGAAAATGGAAAAAACGAATCAACCTCAATGATTTTCTGTTAAATAACTTAGGTTCTAAAATGTATTTAAATTTGCCATTTACTTTAAATACAGATATTTAAATGTTTCGTGTTTGTTAATTATGCAAGCTCATGCAAGTAACATTCATTTATTACCACTGTAATACTGAAGTTGTAGGGGGCCCGACCAATGCCAAAAAAGCCTATATTACTCATATAGCTCTTTTATACATTTTCTATCATATGTTGTAAAATCTGTCTATAACCGTTAAGGTTTTAACTCTATAATTTTTATTCAAAACCAAGGTCCCAGATGAATAATGGAACATTTCTTACATTACTGCACACGCTCCAGTCAGTTTTGCAAACCTGACGACTTTTCAGACCCCCCTTAGAGCCAAATAAAAAAAAAAGTGATAGCGAACTGTTACTGGCGATTTTTAGAGATTCTTGTGTGTCCGTGTCCATGATGTTATATTTATATATTTGTTTTTTTGTTATATATATATATATATATGCAATATCACACTCGTAGCAGTGCGATATGGCTGTATATCGGCACTGGTGGGAAGCGTGCGATGGCATAAGGCCGCAGGCCGAGTGCCCCCACCAGTGACGATATACAGCCATATCAAACTGCTACGAGTGTGATATTGCGTTTATACAACTCTTTGACGGTATAATTGTGTATATAAAAACAAAATCAAACATGGAGAGTCTCAAAAACCCTTATGTATAAGGAACTACATTCTTCCACATTGTATTCAAATCATAAGCTGACAGTTAAACAGCTGTTAAAACAGTTAAAGGCATCTTTTAGACTTTAGCTCTTTAGTGTCAGCTTTTTGCTGTGTGTGCGGAGTAATACACAAAGGGTAAAGAGGCTGTAGGAGTTGTGATATTGCAGAATATCACACAGCTTTCAGCCAATCAGATTTGAGAACCAGACAAAACTGTTGTGTGTATATATATATATATATATATATATATATATATATATATATATATATATATATATATATATACATGCAGTTTATTTTTCAAAAATGCTAGGGCCCCCAAATCACTAAGTCCGCCCATGTGTTCATGCTATACACATGCTCTGCAGTGTCACTCATATAGAGTTTAACTGGTATCAAACATGGAACATTCCTACAGTCAGACGTAACATAACAATAAGCTCTATGAACCAGGAAACAGCACTGAGCTAACCGGTAGTGTTGAGGACTCCACGAACAGCTCCATTCAGCAGGCTTATCTCCGGTACACTCTCCAGCACGGGACTTTGTGGTAGTAAGGGGTTAATTTTAGCTACTTTGTGTCCATGTGCTCGATAGGCCTCCACCAGTCTCGCCAGTCCGTGATCTGTTTACACAAGACAGCAGCTTATAATACATTAACCCACTCTGTACATTAAAGCGATGCAGAAAAATAGCATCTTGTGTATATTTATGCTTGAAACGTTAGGAAGAAGCAAGCCAATAGCAACGTTGAGGTTTTGTGTCTCTAAAGCAAAACATTATAATACATAGAACATTCAAGTGAGTACCTCGGTTAAGAGCGGAGATCTGCGTTAACTCTGCCCGTCTTTCTGGACCGTCTCTCGGTCTGAAACCGTACACACCACGCTGAGTGTGGTATAAATTCGCTAAAAACGACCTCCTGGCACCAAAGGAGCGGTGCAAAAGCCGAGGGAGGTGTATAAGCATACTGCGCGCTGACATGACGTAAATAAATAAGGTAAACTTGGTTAAAAGACGATGACAAGTTTCGCCGAAGAGCCACGCATCCTAGAGCGCAGCCATAATAAACGATAGCGGGGGGAGAATCGTTCTTGTGAATCGAATCTTCTCAGTGATTCGATTCTCAAGTCCAAACGGATTTGTTCACCACAGCTAGAATCCTACATTAAAGACCTAAAAATAAAACACCAGTTACAACTAACATTGTGTAAATCCAATTTAGCTAGAATTAGAATGTACTAATTTAGATTTATAACTAATGGATGAAATGGTATTTATTTTAATTATATTTTGACATGCTATTTTATTAGTAGTAATATCATAATTATTATAATTTGTCTGAATACATTATATTATTAGGCAGATACACGTATTCAAAGCGGCATGCAAAAGAGAACAATTACAGGCGAATCAAAGCAACAAATATGTAAGTATGATCATTGCTAGCAGCATATAATTTTTAGATAAATATTAAGAAAACAGAATAGAGAATACTTTAAGAAGTATTGGTGTAAGATTTATTTCAAAGACATTTGAAGACAAATAACAACAAATAAATTAAAAAAAAAAAAAACAGTTTTTGTCTATAATGCACATAAAATGTGTTCAACTATGAGCCGAAGCGTGAGCACTTAACTTTACAATATATTATTACAATATATGCTTATAATATATTATTACAATATATGCTTATAAGCACATTTATTGATGTAACTGAAAACATAAAATATAATTAACTGCCATGTGAGCCTAATGTTTTATTGTTTGTCTTGGAAGAGCCACTATAGATATTACATCTGTATAATATAGAACATTATATTATGCCTTTATTTAGATCAGTGATTTTTTAATGCTTCAATCAACACATACATGACAATATAGCAAACAAAATAATGCCAGTGTGATGGAAGGTAAATAATAATAATAGTACAAAAAAATAAATGATCAAAATGTTAAAAATAGAGCATAAATGTGCAGTTTTAATTGCCTTTCTACTATGCTAAAAAGTACAAAGTATTTTTTAAGTTTTTATAAAACAAAGTAAAACAGGGTTTTTTGTTTGTTGTTGTTGGAAAATTAACACTTATGAATATGAAACTTAATCAACAAAATAAATATGTTAAAAACAAAAACTTTGTTTTTCAAATAACCATAATTAAAATATCCAAACATTATGTTTTCAAAATGCAAATTAAAATTAAAGAGTACCTTTTTTTATAAAGACAGAAGCATCATATTAACATAACCACAGTGCCAAAAGATGTGGGGTACAGTTTACAAATGCAAAGAACAAAAGAGCAATTTATATCAAAATCCTTTTTATATTTATTAAGAAAATGTGAGGCAATGACCGAATACTTTCCCATTTAGGAATTCTTACACACTTTTTCCAACGGGTAACAAAGCTAGGTTTGAAAACAACCTGGTTTGAAAAAAAAGAGAGTGAATAGATTTGTTATTTTTAGACTGCGAAAAACTAATTTTACCACACATTGTATCAGGTAGACTGACTAAGCGCATATGAATCCAAGTTACATCTTTAAATAAGGACACAAAATTACAATTGCAGAGAAAACAAGAGAAAATTCCTTGGGAGTTACAAGAAAGTTAAAATGTACAAGAAACACTACCAAATAAGTCATAAGATACCCTTGAGTGTTATCCTGACAAACTAAAACAATATCCTTTTTAAACCACCTCTCCAAAAAATACTCTTGCGTTTATACAAAATACATATATTGTTCCAAATAAACTAACGTTGTGAAAAAATCTCCAACACAGTCAGTGATGTGTAATCCAAAGTGGTTTTCAAAGTGGGGGTCGGAACCCCTGAGGGGTCGCGGGACAATAAAGGGGCCTGGTGGTTTCCAAAAATCGATTTATTTTTATTAAACCATAAGAATTACAATATTATATTAATAACCTACTGAAAAGAAAAGAATAGTCATTTATAGTTACTCTATACTTTCTAGTTACTATAGTAGCTTATAGTTACTAGTTCTATTGGATATATTAAAGACACAGCAATAGCGTCAGATGCAGCAGATTGATTTTATAACATCTGGTTAAATATACTGGCACATTTCCAGCTTTTACATACATAAAAAAACTAATAAACGAAGAATAGATTTGGGTCTATTGGTGTGCGTGCGTGATTGCATGCAAGGTTTCTGTATTTATAATCACCTCAGAGAATATTGGGGTTCGCGAGTCAATGGCATTGTTATTTTGGGGGTCACGGGCTGAAAGGTTTGGGGCACCCCTAATCAATACAGTCAAGCCGGAACCACGTGATGACGTACTTAAAAGAATAGACGAGTCGATTTGCGGGAATGAACTGTTCGAAAGAACCGATTCGCGATGAGTCGGACGAAGCATCACCAATGCACAGTAGCAGGAGGGAGGTAATGATTTACTCGTCGCCTGTTGGCTGGAATAGAGGCTTTGGTTCGTAAGAGGGCTTGGATAGGTCAACTTGTTTATGCAGTGTGTGTGTGTGTGTGTGTGTGTGTGTGTGTGTGTGTGTGTGTGTGTGTGTGTGTGTGTGTGTGTGTGTGTGTGTTTGAACTGAGAGGTATTTCTAAGAAGTTGAGGAACCTTACAGTATGACAAATATAGCTTGTTTATGTTGCAACTGTAAAAACAGCATAGAAGTTAAAACGCTGCAATAGGTGAAAGGTTGGCACTGTGAAACTGTGTTATGAGCTGTGTAAACTTTTTATGGAAGATTTGTTCAAGTTAAACATTAACTTTTTAAAATGACAGTAATGTATAAAGGCTATGTACCACAGTAAACGTAATGTATTGTTATTTTACAACTTGTAATGGAATTAAACTATTTACATTGGAAATAGTACAACCTTATTGTAATTATTGGTTTTATTTTGATAATATTGGTTTTATACGCTGTAAAGTCAGGAAAATAAATAAATATATTTATCTTTAGGGTGACAGGGTGGCTCAGTGGTTAGTACTGTCATCTCACAGCAAGAGAGTCACTGGTTGAGCTTCAGCTGGGTCAGTTGGCAATTCTGTGTGGAGTTTGCATTCTCCCGTGTTGGCGTGAGTTTCCTCCGGGTGCTCCGGTTCCCCCACAGCCTAAAGACATGCGGTATAGGTGAATTGAATAAACTGTGTATGGGTGTTTCCCACTACTGGGTTGCTGCTGGAAGGGCAGTGTCTTTTATAATCAGTTTTTATTTCTGAGATGTTGTATTTATATCATATTGTTGCACCTAAAAATACTAATTAATTATAATTTAAAATCTTTATACAGTACCTAATCTCAATTAATTTACAGAACAAAAATGATTAATTGGATTTACTGTTTTTTAGGGTAAGTGGTTGCAAACAATTGATACGGGCTGAATTTGAACAAACAAATTTGGTTGAACATTACTGAACTGTATTAGTTTGTTTAAATTCAGCTCATATCAATTGTTTGCAACCACTTACATTAAAATAAATAGTAAATCCAATTTATCTTTTTTAAACCATTAACAAAAAAGTTTTTTTGAAATAATTTTAAATATACTAAAATGTATTATAAGCACATATTCTTTTATATATGCCTATTTTATAATTCATTCATTCATTTTCCTTTCGGCTTAGTCCCTTTATTAATCAGGGGTCACCACAGCAGAATGAACCGCCAACTTATCCAGCATATGTTTTACGCAGTGGATACTCTTCCATCTGCAACCCATGACTGGAAAATACTACTTTATTATATTGTACAGAATAAGTTTTCTTTCATGATTGCATAAATAGCAATGAAACTGTAACACTTTACAACAACAGTACATGAATAAAGATGTATTAATATGTATACACTTTTCTTATGTTGTTTAGTGTAAACGCACTAGACGGATGTGAATAAGGAGTTCATGAGTAGTCAAGAATGATGATGTGCCCCCCCAAGCACTCACAATATTATTATACATTAACATATCATGATGGGTAAACTAATTGTAAAAACTAATGTGGTAATTAATACATTATTTAAATAACAATCATGTACTACCAAGTAATTAAGGTAGCTGTTATTCACACATGAACTCATCTGACTCATCTTGTAGTTAAAGTTAGTTAGCACTTACTCATTAGTTCATAACAAAAGTAATGTTTAGTTTACATCATTTAGTTTACACGATTTAGTTTAGTAATGTTTAATACATTATTATTCATGTACTGTTATTTAAAGTGCTACCAATGAAGCGTTAATTAACCAATATTTCAACATTTTATTTTGCCAGAAGTTATTTAGAAGCATCAAATTAGACACTTTACCTTCATAAAAATTATTTTTAATATGTATATAAAATATTTTTTGTTAAATTAATAATGAATTTAATGCAGATACCAAAATACGCTCTCAAAATCTAAAATCATGTAATCACACAAAATCATATATTTTCTCTATTTCGGATTCAGGTAACATTTCAAACACTTTAGTTCCCCCTATAGGCAGACATGGAGCATTGCAGGCTCTAACAGCTCAGGAAAAAATGCCATTTCAGAAATCATCTTCATCCGTAAAACCCAATATACAGTACATCTTGACAATTTAGATCTGAATCTAAGAATCAATTTTAATATGATTTCTGTTATTGCAATTAAAAAAAAAAAAGATTAACAGTTTATCTCGTCTCTGATCAGCCAAATAGACAAATATTAGCTTTCTCGGTAATGTATGAAATCAGAGATGCTCATAAGACATTGAGATTGCACGTGTTGTTTCCCAGATTGCAGTCGGGAGGCAGCATATGAATGTCCCCAAAACTGAAGCAATCCCCCCTCCTCAGACTCTCCCCCACACGCACACGGTCAAACACGCCTCGCAGGCGAATGTGTTCTGGATTCAGTGCTGCAGCTCCTCCTCGTCGCCACATCGGCCTCAAAAAACAGACCCGGAGCAGTTCACAAGCTGAGCTCCAGCTGCAACACAAGGGTACCTGCTGCTCACAGAAATAGGACACTGTGGGGATGACAAGCTGCTTTAATATTGACTCTTTAAGACTAACTCGACTTTTGGTTAGTAGTACTAGTTTTTAGCTACTTGTAGTAAAATGACCAACTAGTATACTTTTTGTCTTTGTTAGATAGTCTACTATGCTGAATATCTACATTCACCGGCCACTTTATTAGGTATACCTTTCCAATTGCTTGTTAACGCAAATTTCTAATCAGCCAATTACATGGCAGCAACTCAATGCATTTAGGCATGTAGACATGGTCAAGACGATCTGCTGCAGTTCAAACTGAGTATCAGAATGGGGAAGAAAGGTGATATAAGTGACTTTGAATGTGGCATGGTTGTTGGGGCCAGACAGGCTGGTCTGAGTATTTCAGAAACTGCTGATCGACTGGGATTTTCATGCACAATCATCTCTACAGAGAATGGTCAGATTTGTCAGAAAAAGAGAAAATATCCAGTGAGCGGCAGTTCTGTTGGTGCAAATGCCTTGTTGATGCCAGAGGTCAGAGGAGAATGTCCACACTGGTTCAGGCTGATAGAAAGACAACAGTAACTCAAATAACCACTCGTTACAACCAACGTATGCAGATTAGCATCTCTGAACGCACAACATGTCCAACCTTGAGGCGGATTAGCTACAGCAGCAGAAGACCACTGAACTCAAATGGCCTCCACAGTCACCAGAACTCAATCAAATAGAGCACCTTTGGGAAGTGGTGGAATGGGAGATTCCCATCATGGATGTGCAGCCGACAAATCTGCATGATGCTATCATGTCAATATGATCATCTTTGTGGAATATTTCCAGTATCTTGCTGAATTTATGCCACAAATGATTAAGGCAGCTCTGAAGGCAAAAAAGGGTCCAACCCCATACTAGTAAGGTGTACCTAATAAAGCGGCCAGTGAAATAGCTTAGATAACTGTTTACTGAATGTTGTTATATTATATTATGAATATTATATTCAGATATCACATACACTGATTGCTGTGGAATACATACGTCTGACATGGATAGTTGAAGAGACAATTCACCCAATAAAACTAAAGTTTCTCACTATTTACTCACCCTCGAATTGCTCCCAAGGGTTTATTATGAGTTTCTTTATTCTGTCGAAGAACACAAAAGAAGATATTTTGAAGAAAGCTGAAAATCACAGACTTATAGAAAAACAAATACTAATGATGTTAATGGGTTTCCATCATTCTTCAAAATATATTATTTTGTGTTCAATGGAAGAAAGTAAAACAGGTTTAGAAGAAGTAAAGGGTGAGTAAATGATCATCATTTTCATGTTTAGAAGAACTTTCCCTTTAATAAAGACCAACTATTCATAAAATATTTTTGATCTATGGCTGACTATACACATAGTAGACTAGTATTCGAAAAATAATTAACAGTCATTAGTTAATTAGGCTAATTAGTAAGGAGATTAACTAGTAAATGACAGTCGATGGCATGTAAGAAGTCAAGCATTGCAATCAAAGGTCAAAGAATGCATTTAATCGAGCTATTTATCAGTCTTAAAGGGATTGTTCACACAAAGATTAAAAATACGGTCACTATTTTCTCACACTAAAGTGGTTCAAAACATTTATGAGTTTCACTTTAGTTGTTGAACACAAAAGAAGATATTTAGAAAAACCTGTAGCCATTCCCTTCGATAGAAGCATTTTTGTGACAGGTTTTTGACAAGTGAAGTGCGAGTAAACATATCTGATGACATAATTTTCATTTTTAAGTAAACTATCCCTTTCGTTTTAAAATCTAAATGTTAAAACCACCTGCCACACAGTGTGTGTTCCACCCCGGGAACATGTTGCGTTTTTGTTCGCGTGGAAACGCGCTTCAGACTGATCTCCGTCCTGTAAATGAAAGACCCTCCCTTGTTGCTGCGACGCCTGTTTCTTCCGAGACCGTCATGACGAGCGATCCGCTTTAATGAGACCTCAGGCTATTCAGAGCATCATCGATTGTGCAAACCTCTCTGAAGACCACTAGAGAATCGCTGAAGGCAAGGTCTGAAGCTGCTCGGTCTGCTTGTACTCGGAGAAAACGGACGTGTAGCGTTTTATCCCCGAAACACAATAGGGGCTCTGGAGTTATGACGGCTCGACGGATGACTGGCGCTGTCCGTTCAGCACCACCTTGCGCCCAATGACACCATAGAAACACCTGCCCGACACCCTCAACCCAAGCCGGGGGTCAGGATATTGCCTAATTAGAAGGACGACCTGTTTAGAAGTCAAGTGCATGAGGTTTGTGGATATCCATTGTTGATTAGACAGTGGCACGAAGAGTTGGCACGGCTGTAAACACATCTGAATTTTCTGAACATGGGTCCCAGCGGTACGACGAAGGTCCATGGCTTGGAGATATGACTAGAGAGGTACGCGATGGGCCAAGGGGACGACAAGGATCGCATCGTGATCAACGTCGGAGGAATCAAGCACCAGACTTACCGCAGCACCCTGCGCACGCTGCCCGGCACCCGGCTCTCCTGGCTGGCGGAGCCCGACGCGCCGAACAACTTCGACTATGATGCGAACATCGGGGAGTTTTTTTTCGACCGCCACCCGAGCGTTTTCGCGCACATCCTCAACTACTACCGCACGGGGAAGCTGCATTGCCCGGCGGATGTGTGTGGACCGCTGTATGAGGAGGAACTTGCGTTTTGGGGGATTGATGAGACGGACGTGGAGCCGTGCTGCTGGATGACCTACCGGCAGCACAGGGAGGCGGAGGAGGCTTTGGACAGTTTTACCGGGGGCGCTCTCGACCTCGGTCATGACGACCCGGAGCCTGAAGGGGTCGTCGAGGCGGCTGAGGGGGATGAGGGGGTCGAGATGACCCGGAGACTGGCGCAAGGAGACTCCCCGGATAACCGATCTGGGCGATGGAGCAGGTGGCAGAAGAAGGCCTGGGCGCTCTTTGAGGACCCATACTCCTCTAAATACGCACGGGTGAGTTCACTGAGGACAACGTTTATAAATGAATTGGCGGTTCATTCCGCAGTGGCGACCACTGATATATCAGGGAATGATAGTGATTTTAGTGTGTGTGTAAATGAGAGTGTATGGATTTTTCTTAGAGATGGGTTGCAGCTGGAAGGGCATCTACTGTGTAAAACAAATGCTGGATTAGTTGGCGGTTCATTCCGCTGTGGCAACCCCTGATTAACAAAGGAACTAAGCCAAAAATAAAATGAATGAATGATAGTGAGTGTGGAAAAATCTGTTTTGTTTCATGGAAAGGGCATTTTAAAACCAACACAGACCAGTTCATCAGGATCTGCGCAGAGCAGTGAGGGTCAAATGATCCTAATGAGCGCATCACTGACTGCCGATGGTGATTGATTATTGGAGAAATCACTAATAGATACAGCTGTGTCTGACCGGGTCATTCCACAAAATATTGAGGTTTCCTTTTCCAAATGCTGCTTACAAAATATTGATTTGCAAGATTCTTTCAAAGAAAGAAAAAACTAGAGAGATAATAAAATATATTGTACCATATTAAATAATAATTTACCATAGCAAATTATTTGTAATATATTTTATAGCCTATATTATGGCTAATGACAGTTATACTTATTTTACAAATGAGCTTAGTAATGCTCAAGGTCATCAAATTTGTGTTTATTGGAAAATGTAGGATTCAATGCTTACATTTATTATAATTATTTTGATAAAATGCTAAATCAAAACTTAGAAGCTCCAACATCAACATGTTTAAACATCACATAAACAAAAAGTAAATTAGAGATTTTTAAATTAATTAGTTTTAATTAGTAATATCTAATGTAAATGCCTAAATAATATATATACACATAAAATTAACTTGTAATCATTAATTGGCACATAAACACCAAATAGAGAAATGAAAATCAGAAATCTGTAGTATTTATTAACTTATTAGAACTAGATTTGTTTTTACTCCTGCATGAGAATTAAATACATAAATTGTAACGCATGTGTGTTTGTTATGTATATTTATTCATTTATTTACATATAAATAATGCCTCACAGGCAAATATCAAGGACATACAATTAATGAATGATTAATAAATACATAAATCAAATTAAATTGTATTTGTTTTGTTAATATATTTAAAACAATAACCCATAGCAAAAGTTATTGTTATTCCCAAAAATTTCCTAAGGCTCCTTTTTGTTGGAATGACCCCGAAATATGTTGAGACACAAAGCCTCCGAGTGACCTTGAAATAATGCCCTGCTTCTCTTTCGTGTTGTAAAACAAGCCGTAACAGGGGACCATGCATGACATCATGCTTTACCATAATCCCTAGTATAAAATAACTCCATTTGCATGTGATCCTCTACCACAGCGCACCTTATAGTTTACTCATCCCCCTGCCTGATGAAGGTTATTGAGTGCTCATGATCTAGAGGTTTAAAATAAAAGCTTTTTACATCCACAGATAATATTTCATCCAAAATCACTAGATGCAAGTTGACTTTAACAAGCAGCCAAATGATAAAGATGCATCTGTGCACTTGTGCTGTAAGAAACACCCTCCCTTTGAGATTTGATGGCTATTTCATTAGCTGATTTCAGATGTCAGCTCTTTGCCCTCACCACTGTCCCATCAGCAGGAACCCTATAAGCTCTTAATCGGGAGATGAGCGCCGTCCCAGCGTTTCCTCCAGTTTTGGCAGCCAGGTTAAAAACAGGTCAGCTCTAGTGACTCCAGCCCACCGCTTTGGCACTGACGGAGCCAGAGGATGGACGTCCTCCAATATCCAACTGGCCAGACTGTAAAGAACTTATGTGACCACTTTGAGGGTGAAATTTAACCGTGGTAATTTTTCAAATGCTCATATTTTTTTAATAAAACACTCCCCAGTCTTTAATTTGAACTCCTGTTTTTAAGGATCCCATTAGCTTTTTAGATGTTAGTATCAGTATTATTTGATTTTAGGATATCTATAAGCTAGTGTGCCCCAAAAAGTGACAAAAATTTGCATTTAAAAGATATAAAACTGATATAAACATGTAAAGCTTGTTTTATTCACGTCACCTCATACTTCAGTTTCTCATCACATCATAACCAATCAAATGCTCTTTACTTTCTGACATGCCCCGCCCCCTTTAGGACGCTTTTCATTTGCTGCTCTTGAGCTCAAAACAAAACACTACTGGCTGTTTTTTTAAAGGGGAGGAGCTACACTATGTCCCGCCCTCTCATCATGTTTCGGTTGAGATTACGTCAAACATCAAATAAAAATGCACATTTCAAAGCACTTCACCTTTAAAAATTGTACTCTAGCTAGGGCTGTTGAACGTTTGATTCTGATTGGCTGATTCTAATATTTTAAAGAAATTTTAAAATGACTTTCCATGTAGTGTGTGACACAGCTCTAGGTGAAGTCAAATATCCAGCTAAGGCTTAATTTTGAAAGTGTGGCGTGTTTAAAACAACTGATTCATCTATAAAAGAGTCGACTCATAGTGCTTCAAATGAATCGTCTTGATAACGAGTCTTTAGCTGTGCTGGCATGTCATCGATACGGAACTTAAACCCTGCCCATTTGTTGCGTGCAAACCCAGAAAAATTGAAACCCCTGGCCCCGCCCACAAACAGAGTAGCAAGAAAAAAAAGACGAAGAACACTGTAGTAGTCCCCGGGTGAATTATGTCGCGAAGACGCTGTGCTCAGCTGAATATTATTGGAAGTGTGAGGGAAAATTAAAGTTATTTTCTCTACCCAAAGATGAAACTGTGAAAAGTCAGTGGTTGAGGTTTATTTTTGCAAAAATGCCTCAGCATTATAGCCCCAGCCTTGTGCTGTGTTCCCATCATTTTTCTGACGAGTGCTTCAGCAATCTACACGCTTACAAGTTACAACCCGTTTGTTAAAGGAAGGATCAGAAAATACTTTTGATATATAGGACTTTGTCAGAGCTTGACAGAAACTTTATCAGTATATGGATCAGTGGATCATGGATCAGATTCTTCCTCCATTTCACAGGTGTAAGTAATTGCATTAAAATGGTTGCCTCCTTGTTTTCTCTAGCTTGCAAATATTATATTTTTAATTGTGTTTGTTACTTGTAAATGCTTTATATTTTCTAAAGCCACGTTGAAAACGCAACGCATGCCGCTTTGTTTATGGATTTGAATGCATTTGTGAGCTTGCTTTCCACTGTTGTTTGTCATTGCTATGGCCACCATCAGCTGGGGGGTTGGGCTATTAGGTTCGGGGGTGAGGTGTCTGAATAACACTGTTGAGAACCGGGCACTGTGTACTGTGGTGTTAGTAACTACTATGAAGCATGTTTCGGGCAGCCGCTGTGATCAAGGGTTTCACAGACTGTACCAAAATGCTTAATACCATTGGGGTGGGGGGTTGAAATTACGGGAGTTTTCTGGGAGAAATAACAAAACGGGAGCATGGCGGGAGATGGGTCTGAAATACAGGAGTCAGGATTGTTGGCAGGTATGCTCACTCTGACTACTTTAATATTGTTGATAAGGCGTGGTGGGCATTTCTCTCTGTCTCTCGCTGAATGCAGTCGACGAATTGCAACAGACTGTCATCGATCTAATCGGGGCAGATTAGCTTTGCACCAAGGAGGGGTTGGGAAACAAATAAATCGATGAACGAATCGTACGGGAGTCATTGGGATAATTAGGTCAAAATGAATGCATATTATAAGACAATGAAAGTGTTTTTTTCACCTTGCATGCATATCAGCCTGTTGTAGGAGACCCCCAAACCAAAATATGACCCTTCGTAATGCAAAATAGGGGCTCTTTAAGATAAACGCTCAGCTAAAGTAGTTCCGAACAGGTTTTGACTGTCGAATTGTTTTTAAGACTTCGTGAAAAGTGAAAAGAATGTCAACTTTTACACACAGCGCTGCTCATCAATGTCAGTTCCAAAGCAGTGGACCAATCAGAGGAACTTAAAGGTCCTATGAACTTAAAATAAAGTTTTGTAGATGTTAGTAACAGTATTGTTCATTTTTAGGATATCTACAAGCTAATGTGCACCAAAACAGTTACAAAATTCTCATTTAGAAAATATAAAACTGATATAAACATGTAAAGCTTGTAGTTTGCCACTACAATGGTTTTATTCACGTCAGTTTACACTATAGTTTCTATAGACATGCCCCGCACCCTTCAAGATACTTCTCATTTGCTTTTCATTTGATGTGCTTGAGCTCAAATCCTCTCACTGGCAGAGCGGTGATAAAACAAAACACTATTGGCTGTTTTTTAAAAAGGGGAGGAGCTACATTATGTCCCACCCTCTTTTCATGTTTCGGTTTAGATTACATCAAACATCGAATAAAAATTCACATTTCAAAGCACTTCACGGGACATCTAAATATTGTACTCTAGCTAGGGCTGTTGAATGCTTGATTCTGATTGGCTTATTCTAATATTTTCAGATAAACGCACAGCTAAAGCAGTTCCAGACAGGCTTTGACTGTCGAATTGTTTTTAAGACTTCATGAAAAGTGACAAGAATTTCAACTTTTACACACAGCGCAGCTCATCAATGTCAGTTCCAAAGCAGTGGACCAATCAGAAGAACTCATTCAGAACGCAATGCAGTGGGCACTTTGATGCCAAAAAACAAGTCAAAAATGCAAATCGGTTTTAATTTTGAGCATTGAAATCATAAACACGTCAAAAAGCAATCAATGCACTGTCCTATAATTGATTTTTGAGACTTTTTTGACGCCAATTTAGATGTCAATTTGATGTAGTGGGGTGGCTCGGTGGCTCAAGCCTCCTTTCCACTGCACACGACAATTGACAAGCGACAGACCGGAAGTCATTCATTTCCAATGGAGAGCAGTCCGGGAGCTGCGTTGAGTTCCGTATGCGGAAAAATTCGGATCCGAATTGAGCTGCGGATCCGTTGAAATATTTGAACTCCTGCGACTAGAGCAGGGATGGGCAAACTTGATCCTCATGGGCCGGTGTC